TTTATTTCTGTGGGATATGTGTCTGCTTGGGCACATACCTATCTGTTCAGTATCTTATCCCTCTACAGTCTTGTCAAGGAACACACGTGTATCTATGTAATTCTTAGAACATGGGGAGCAACACTGTTTTCTGTTCCTGGTATAGTCATCAAATCCACTTCTTAGAATTCTTTCTATAGCAAAGGCATTGTTTCACCAACAACCGGCCTTAAGGATTCTTAACATCAACCCTTTTTTTCCGCACTTGAAGATACTCCAGTTGGATATTTTCTCCAAATTTAAGATGGACTTTAGTGTGGGGTGAATAAGCCTCTGAATACATAGTGTGTCTGGAAGCTTGCAGCAGAACAGCGGGCTCATAGCTGAAAATATTATCCTTCAGACGACCCCAGCCCCAGAGGCCCCCATGCACTAGGAAAAGGCTTTCATTTTGTAGTTGTAAGCACTTCTGGGTGTCTCTAGCATTCAGTAGTTAGACCTTGTTTCGTGGAAGTTGTACGCTGACCATGGTGCTGCTCTTTGTCTTCTATAGTCTGGAGTGCAAATTGGAGTGGCCTTGTCTGAGGTACACTGCCCCCCATAGCATCAGGAATGTATGACAACAATACATGATGACTTTATAAACTTCTGTGTCAGAGAAAATTTATCTGTAAGGAAAAGAATGGCTGAAAACATACTATACACTACCCTAACTCAGAAAAAGCATTTGAGCTATCCTAGTTTGTTTCTATTGATTAAAACACGAAGACCAAAAGAATCTTGGGGAGGCAAGTTCATTTGACTTCTGCTAACACATTGCAGTACATCATGAAGAGATATCATGGCAGGGACTCAAGTCAAGGACCTAGAAGTAGGAGCTGAAGCAGAGACCACGGAGGAACTCTGCTTATCGCTCTGCTACCTTTCCTATACATCTCAGGACCATCTGCCCAGGGAAGGCCCCACCCACAAAAAGTTGGACTCTTCCAGGTCAATCATTAATCAAGAAGATGCCCCACAGAGTTGCCTAGAGGCCAATCTGATGGAAGCATTTTGTAAAAGAGGTTCTCAGATGACACCAGCTGGTGTCAAGTTGACAAAGATCTAACCAGCACACAAGGTAGTAATTATAACAAAAATAAGAACGTAGCTAAAAATACAAATGATTCCTACATGACCAAACATTTATGACATCCTTTTCCTCTAACAGAATCTGACAAATATGTGGTAGGCACACACTCACAGAGGTTAATTTATTAGCCGAAGAACATTCAGATAAGCTAGGTACAGGAAAAAGAATATTCTTAACCAGGGCTCCTGGCACCCAGTGATAATTTCTAAAGTCTGTCACTTATCATAGGAGAATAGTGTTGGCCATCTTCCAACACTTCCTGGAGGCAAAGGAAGATGGAGGGAAATATGCAAATTAAAAGGGGGTGGGTGTTAACATTTGCAGCAAACAACACTGAATCTCACATTGCAAAACATTAATACAGTCAACAGCCTGCTTATCGACGTCTCTGCCTGGCGGGTGTGTGGAGGGCATTGACAATCCAAGGCTTCCTCTACCTTCTTGATTCAAATCGCCTGTATGATTCATGTGTAGAAAGCACAGCAGGGAACAGGAAGATGTTCAGGCAAGTCATTCCTCGTGAATTTAAAAGCTTTCTTTCCTCTGGCCTGTATGTCAGAAAATAGAGTCAGTTTGCTTATAGTTCTCCTTAGTTGTTCACAACAGAAGTGGGACTTCTCCGTGGAATCATACACAGCTTTGCTCAGGTAATAAAAACCAAGGTTGTCCAAGTTGCTGAACCTATAATTAAGAGAAGATGGAAAGCCAGGATATTCGGGATATTTCCCCATGTGGAAAATATAATCATGAACAATGAGTAGGTAGTTGCTGTGTGTTCATACGGATTACTAAACAGACCCCGAAACAGTAAAGGCAACTGGAATATGAAATTTTAAAGCCCCTAAGATGGAGAGAATGTTCATAAGCTGTGAAATAGAACCATTCATGCCTCTGGCATATGAAGAAAGGAAGAAATGGTGTGTGGTTTTCAGCATTTGATAACAGTTTAAATTATTATTCCCAGCTCCATAAAATCTCTGAAAGCAAAGACCCTGTTTTAGTTAGAACTCTGTATTTGGTCCAAGAGTTATAGGTGATTTATTATAGACCCTCAACAAACTTTCTTTTTTAAATAAACATTTTTTATTTAAATTATAACAGGCTTGTTTTACATGTCAGTCCCAGTTTCCTTTCCTTCCCCTCCTCTTCTGCACCCCACTGATGCCCTAGCCCATTCCCTTTCTGTTCCCCAGGCAGGGTGAGGCCTTCAACAGGGGATCTTCAAAGTCTGTCATATCATTTGGAGCAGGCTCTAGGCCCTCCCCTATGTGTCTAGGCTGAGATAGTATCCCTCTATGGGGAATGGGTTTCCAAAGTCCATTTGTATACTAGAAATAAATACTGATTCACTACCAGAGGTCCCATAGGTTGCCTAGGCATCTTAACTGAAACCCACGTTCAGGGGGTCTGGATCAGCCCTATGCTGGTTTCCCAACTGTCAGTCTAAGGTCTATGAGTTCCCCCTTGTTCAGGTCAGCTGTTTCTATGGGTTTATCCAGCCTGGTCTTGACCCCTTTGTTCATCACTCCTCCCTCTCTGCAATTGGATTCCAGGAGTTTGGCTCAGAGCTTAGTCATGTATATCTGCTTCTGCTTCCATTAGCTATGGGATGAAGGCTCTAGGATGGCATATAAGGTAGTTATCAATGTCATTATCGGGGAAGGGCATTTGAGGTAACTTCTCCACTATTGCTTAGACTGTTAGTTGGGGTCTTCCTTGTAGATCTCTGAACATTTCCCTAGTGCCAGATTTCTTTTTAAGCCTATAATGGCTCCCTCTATTATGGTGTCTCTTTTCTTGCTCTCCTCTATTCTTCCCCTGACACAGTCTTCCTGCTCCCTCATGTCTTCCTCTCCCCTTCTCTTTCTCCTAATTCCCTCTCCCCTCCCACCATGCTCCCAATTAGCTCCAGGGATCTTGTCCCTTTCCCCTTCTCCAGGAGACAATGTATGTCTCTCTTAGGGTCCTCTTTGTTCTCTAGCTTCTATGGCAATATGGATTGTAGGCTGATAATTTTTTGCTCTATGTCTAAAATCCATATATGAGTAAGTACATACCATGTTTGTCATTTTATGACTGGGTTACCTCACTCAGGATGGTTTCTTCTAGTGCCATCCATTTGCCTGCAAATTTCAAGTTTCCAATTTTTTTTCGGCTGAGTAGTATTCCATTATGTAAATATACCACATTTTCTTTATCCATTCTTCAGTTTAGGGGCATCTAGTTTTCTTCCAGGTTCTGGCTATTACAAATAATGCTGCTATGAACATGGTTGAACAGATGTCCTTGTTGTATGGATGTGCATCTTTTGTGTATATTCCTAAGAGTGGAATTGCTGTATCTTGTGGTAGATTTATTCCAATTTTTCTGAGGAATCTCCATATTGATTTCCAAAATGGCTATACTCCCACCTGCATTGGAGGAGTGCTCCCCTTTCTCCACATCCTCTCCATCACAGGCTGTCATTGGTGTTTTTTTTTTTTTATTTTAGCCATTCTGACAGGAGTAAGATGGTATCTCAGAGTTGTTTTGATTTGCATTGGCTAGGGATGTTGAGCACTTTCTTAATTGTCTATCAGCCATCACTCTCTGTTGAGAATTCTCTGTTTAGTTCTGGACCCTACTTTTTAATTGGATTATTTGGTGTTTTATTGACTAGCTTCTTGATTTCTTTGTATGTTTTGGAAAACAGCCCTCTATCAGATGTGGGGGTGGTGAAGATCTTTTCCCATTCTGTGGGCTGCCGTTTTGTTTTGTTGACTGTGTCCTTTGCCTTACAGAGCCTTCTCAGATTCAGGAGGTCCCATTTATTTATTGTCGATCTCAGTGTCTGTGCTACTGGTGTTATGTTCAGGAAGTGGTCTCCTGTACTAATTCATTCAAGGGTACCTCCCACTTTCTCTTCTAACAGGTTTGGTGTGGCTGGATTTATGTTGAGGGCTTTGATCCATTTGGACTTAAGTTTTGTGCATGGTGATAGACATGGATCTATCTGTAATCTTCTACATGCCAATATCCACTTATGCCAGCAGAATCTGTTGAAGATTCTTCCTTTTTCCCATTATTTAGTTTTAACTTCTTTGTCAAAAATCAGGTATTCATAGTTGTGTGGGTCATATCAGGGATTTCAATTCAATTCCATTGGTCTACCTGTCTATTTTTCTTCCAATTCCAAGCTGTTTTCAGGACTATAGCTCTATCTATTATAGATATAGAGCTTGAAGTCAGGGATGTTGATGCCTCCAGAAGTTCCTTTATTGTACAGGGTTGTTTTGGCTATCCTGAGTCTTTTGTTTTTCCATATAAAGTGAGTATTGTTCTTTCAAGGTCTGTGAAGAATTGTGCTGGCATTTTGATGGGGATTGTATTGAATTTGTAGATTGTTTTTTGTAAGATTGCCATTTTTACTACATTGGTCCTACCTATCCAAGAGCATGGGAGATCTTTCCATTTTTCTGGTATCTTCTTTAATTTCTTTCTTTAAAGACTCAAAGTTCTATTATACAGGTCTTTCACTCATTTGGTTAGCATTACCTCAAAGTATTTTATGTTGTTTGTGGCAACTGTAAAGGGTGATGCTTCTCTGATTTCTTTCTCAGCCTATTTACCATCTGTATATAGTAGGCCTACTAATTTTTTTGAGTTAATCTTGTATCCTGCCACTTTGCTGACAGTTTTTATCAGCTGCAGGAGTTCTCATGTAGAATTTTCCGGTCACTTATATAAACTATCATATCATCTGCAAATAGCAAATGCTCAACAAACTTTTATTAAAAGGAACGGTGATTTTAAAAAGTGAGGTTAGTAAGTGCATTTTAAAACGGAGATGTTGAAATAAAAGGAAACATTCCTGAGAGAAAAAACTGAATTCTTGCTGGAAACAATACACAAGTACATGGAAATGCAGGCATACCCGTCTTAAGTCTTCAGAATTAGCAGAAAGAGGGTGTTGAAGGAAAGTCAAATTCCCGGGTGACCTCAGAAATGGCTCTTGATGTTCTGCATTAGTAGTGTGAGTGTCCCACAGTGAGAGTCAAGGCAGTTCTCCTGAGAACACAGTGCAAGCATCAAGGTGTGCCATGGGAAAGCCAGTGATGAGACTCGTCCACACTCCTCCATGCCTCTAACCCTAATCACAATTGACCATCACGAGTCCTAGGGCAGCTCGACACTCTACCTGCATACTCTCATTTATACGCATCCATAATGTGTTTATACAGTTAGAGTCAGCTGCTACTGCCCACGGTTTCCATGGTTTTGTACTGGCTGGCCCAGTACTCTGCCTCAAACAAGAACATTTTATGATTTGGTCATTCAAGGCTTTTAAGATAATTGGTTAGGTTTTGAGGGAATGGTCAGTTGTCAAGTTGAACAGCTCAAAACTCAACCAAATATGAAATTATGGCCTTTAGAGTTATTGCAAACTAAATAAAAGATAGAAATTATTGTTAAAGGTACCCTGGTCAACACTACTCTTCTCAGCAGGGCCTGGCATATAAGTTTTCACAAAACCAAGATTTCAGTAAGAGCCTAATATGAGATTATGGTCAAAGTCCACATCAAGTGATATTCTTGGATGTCTGTAGACTGCTTTTCGATGAGGATGAGGTACACATAACATTACTCAGAGTACATTAAATATTAGGTTAGATAGAGCTTAAAGCCAAGCAAAGTGAAATGACTTGCGTTTTGTTGAAAAATGAGTCACTAAAGGCTCCAGAAATTGAAGTCTAGACGGAGTGAGTGAATAAAGCTGGAAACAACAGAACCAGTAATTGCCATGGGCTATGACAGTGCAGACTGCACCATCTACGCTGCTAGGGAGACTCTCTAAAGGGCTAGCTCAGACGGGCACGTTCCTCCTCCAGGTCTGTCTTCAGGCTCAGAAGGAGCCGCAGATGGTCTGTTTGATGTCATTGCATAGGTATGAACTTTCCACAGAAGATTATTCACTTTATAGATAACCTAAACTCCCACAGTTGCTCCTACAGTGTAAATATGAGCTCTGCTCCTCATCAAGTCATGAAACATCTCAAAGGAAAGACAAAGCTTTTATTAATGCAGTATTTCCTGATAGAGTCTAAAGGGAAGAGAGTCTCTAAAATTCCTATCAACTAGACAGCATTGTCCTTAGCACCGAGTGGCCCACACTGTGTATATATGCCTCACTATGTAGCAGGTACTCCATAGTGTTTGTTGAATTAAGTGTGCTGAAATTCTTGGAACAAGTAATGTTTATTCTCTCCCTCAGGGTTTCCCTCTCCCCTCCCACCTTTTCCTTCTTCTCTTTCTCTCCTTTCTGGGTGTCCTAGATCCTCAAGTACATATACCACCACACTGTTTGTTGAAAGTCAATGCCAAATTCTTTTTTTTTTCTGGTTGACTTTGTAAGATTTATTTTCTTCCTATTTGGCATCAGCAGAGCTATAGTTTAAGCATCACTCACCCCCATCATTTTATTACACATCAAGAAGCACTTCCTTTGTCAAACAGGCCTGGTGGCAGCAAGACTGGGGGCCCTGCTTTCCTCCCGAGTGTCTCCCTGTTGTCATGGCGATTCCTCACCAGGCTCTTGAGAGCTCCCATCTCTTAGGTATTCTCATCCCAGTGAGCCACGATGGGACTCACCTTAAGCATCATAAATACTGAAAGGAAAGCAAAGGACATCAGAAGGTTCCATACAAATTTAATGACAGATTTAAAGATTCGTTTTTATTATTTTTTAATTCTGTGTGTGTCTATGTGTGGGTATGTGTATGTGAGTGTGGTGCCTGAAGGGGTCAGAAGAGGGCCTCAGTTCCCCCAGAACTGGTGTTAAGAGTGGTTATGAGCAGCCTGTTGTGGGCGCTGTGAACTAAACTCAAGTTTCTCAGCAAGAGTGATACATGCTGTCAACCACCTATGATGGCTATTCTTGGTTGTCAACTTGACGGTATCTGAAATTAACTACAACCCCACAATGGAGGGCACACCTGTGAGGGTTCTTTTTCTTAACTTGAAGTAGGAAGATTCACATTTAATCTGAATCTTTGAGGTGGAAAAAGACACTTCTAACCCAGATCACTCGAACTGGGAAAATACGCATCTTCAATCTGGATCTTAAGGAGGGAAAACACAATGCTAATCTAGATCATTTGATCTGGAAAAATCCAACTCTAATCTGGGCCACACCTTCTGCTTGGAAGCTTATATGGAAGAAGGAAGCCTTTGCTCTTTGCCTCCTTGCTCTTTCTCTCCTTGCTAGCAAGTCCATCCCTTCTCTGGCATTAGAATGTGCTTATTCAGGATCCCAGCATATACTGAAGACTGGCTGACACATCCAGCCTTGTGGACTGAGCAACTACCCGATTCTTGAACTTTTCATTCTTAGACAGCCATGGTTGGATTAGCTGGACTGCAGCCTGTAAGTCATTCCAAAAACTCCCACATATATGCCATTCCAAAAAAAATCATGCCCCATCAAACCAGCTCTGGTTTCGTCACTGGACCTTCGCCAAAACTCCTCCCTGAGTCATGGAGACCCTGTGGGAATCGCTCCACAGGACCAGTCCCTTCACGAGCTCCAGCAGGTCACACATGGGATGGGTGTTAGAGTGGGCCAGCCCAAGGCCCAGGATGTGGCTCTAGGTAGTAGCTGAGCTGGTCAGTCTGGGCCACAGGGGCCACCAACCCCCACCCTGAATCAAGGGGTGAAGGGGTGGAACAGAGCTTTCCTAAACCCATGCCATCAGGTCCAGTTTCCCCCCACCTGTGGTGAGGAGTGAGGGCATCTGGATCGTCTTTCCCAAGTGGGAGCAGCTCTCCGGTGAGGGTTGGGGGCCAGCTCTCTTGCTGCAGTGTCTGTCCAGTGAGGGGCGGGGCCAGCAAAGGGCGGGGCAGGTTCAGCATGTTCCTCTGATTTCATCACACATGGTTCCTATGGCTTCTTGTCATCACCTGGGCCACAGACATCAACACAGATATGTCCAGATATGTCCCTCAGCAGCAGCTTGGGGTGGCAGCACAAGCCAATCAGATCAGTATGGCTATGGTGACATCACAGCCCTTGGAACAATGGCTTCTTTTTTAATGGGTAATTACTGAAGACATTTCTTTCAGAGCACTGCTTTGGGTCCTGGAGTTGGGGGAGTGGGTTTCAGAGGAAGAGGAGCGTTCATCAGGGCCTCAGAGTTCCCAGGGTTCACTGGACTTACTCAAGGTAGGGTGAGTTACTCTCTATAACTTTATGCAAATCAATCTACTATCTTTTACCACTTGCATATCTTGGAGAATAAATAAGTTCATATTTGTATAACAGACATTATAGTGAGATGTCCATATTTTGTCTTTCTGTACTCATCAGAGTTGCTAATTACCCGAAACTGGCAACAGGTACCATTCAGGTCCGCCCTGACTTCTCTCTCCCTTTCAGCTGATGCCCTGTTACTGATACCGAAGGCAGTGGAAACACATCAACCGGAACTTTTTAAAAATGTATTTAGTTTTATGTATATAGGTGCTTTGCCCTGCACGTATTTCTGTGAATGGCTTGTGTGCAGTGTCTACAGAGGCCCTAAGAAGATGTTGGGAATCCTAGAACTGAAGTTATAGATGATCGTGAGCCACCATGTGGGTGCCGGGAACCAAATCTCAAACCTGGGTCCTCTGGAAGAACACCCATCTCTCTGAGCCATCTCTCCAACTGCCAGCAATTTTTTTTAATAAAGCACTTTTGTAATTTCAGAAGCAGAGGAGCCACAGGGAGTAGGAATCATCTCGGGTGGATGGTAACGAGAAAGGGATCCTGGAGAAGCCTTTGATAAGGCATATGGAACAGAGGGAGCTTTTTGGTGGACCCTGTATTTTGGTGCTCTGAGATCTCAGTCTCAGGGTCATCGTCAGGCTGTGTGTCCTCACGTGACTGGGTGCAGGGTGGATGGTCGTAAGCTGCTTCTACTGGGGACGCCTTTCACCTATGAGCTCATGTGACTGAGGGTACACAGCTACACCTATAAGCAAAACCAAGATGAGATGGGCGTGCTTGTTTGTTTATCTTTGTTTGCATCTTTGTCTGTGATGTCTGTGTGGATGCCACAGTGTGGGTTTCAATGGAGGCCTGGGGAAGGTACATAATCCTTTGGAGCTAGAGAGGCCATTACGAGCTGCCTGCTATGGATGCTAGGATTACAACCTGAATCCTTCGCAAGAGCACAGAGTGCTTTTAACCTCTCAGCAATCTCTTCAGGCCTTGCCTATTTGTTTTCATGTAAAGAATTAAATTTTGCCAGACGGTGGTGGCGCACACCTTTAATCCCAGAACTTGGGAGGCAGAGGCAGGCAGGTCTCTGTGAGTTCGAGACCAGCCTGGTCTACAAGAGCTAGTTCCAGGACAGTCTCCAAAGCCACAGAGAAACCTTGTCTTGAAGCCCCCACTCCAAAACAAAGAATTAAATTTTTGGTGCTGCAAGACATAGAACATCTTCAGTGTTTCTCAAAGTCAGTCACACAGACTGTGTTTTATAGAATGGCTGAAATATACTTGTATATTTCAGAAATTGCTAGCAATTAATCTATCAATTTTTATGTAACCCAAACAGGAAGTTTTAGATCAAATATCTTGATACAATGATGTTTGCATGTTGAGGAATGGGTGTGGGAAAACAAGTCTGTTTATCTGTAATTAAACAATTATGTTTATTAAACAGTAGAAACCTTTGCACAGATAGTGAAAACACTGCAATCCTTAATGCATGATAGTTTCAAACCTGTATGGAAGTGTTTGGGGCTAGCACTGACTCGAGGTGAATAATATCACCTCTGGTACCATGCGAACTGGGTATGTTCTATCAGACCAAAGGCTGCGGTGAAGTCATTTGATGCAGCATTCCTGAGTGTTTCCAGGGTTACCTCAGATTCACCACACTTTTGAGTTTGAATTCATTTTTGGTTATTTCATGTCTTGAAACATGTCTTTTTCATGACGTGCCCCTGTTTATTTATATGACCCACCTCGGATGAGAAGGGGTCCCATCTCAGAGTTTAAAGAGCTGTGGATTAGAGATGAGCATCTGTTTAGGTGTCAGGTCCTGGGCTTTCCCTTTGTTGTTGTGTGTTGACAGATTCTCTTGTATTAACAGTTTGTATTAACCTGGCCTTTAGAACGGGTTGTCCAGCGGGGTGATGATATGACCGACTGGTCCCACGTTTGTGTCACTGAGTTGGGCAGACAGCATAGTACCTTAATGTCTGAGACTGAGGGAGAAGATTTGATAGAGTGACAGATGGCTGGGTGGTCTGTCTTCTCAGTACATCCGGGAGGCAACGCTGGGAAAGAGCTGAAGAAAGGAAAAAAAGAATCCCCAGGTAACAGTGTCCTCTTCAGATGGTTCAGGATGACACTGTGCCAAGAAGTCCAAGGGAAGTTTAGCTCCTCCCCTCTTTCCTTTCACCAATAAACAAACAAAAACCTTGACATGGGATTTGAGTACACAACGGGTTAAATGGGCGTTGAAATTTTGTTTTGAGGACTTAATGACCACATGAGGTATTACTTTCATGAGAACTATGTTCTGATTCCCAAACCATGATGCTAACTTCCCTAGTAACCTCACAGTGAAGCAGTCGGCATTCAAGCCATGATGGACCCTGTTAGGATTACACCAGAATTCCTGACCCCATCAATCAAATGTTGAGATCCTTGTGATTTTGTGGCAACAATCTCAATATATGCTGTTTCTTCTACAGTTTCTGAGTTGGCTTTGAGGAAAAGCTCTCTGCTATCCTAACATCATGAAGTATATTGTGAAAAACAAGTTTAAATAACACAATTATAAAGAACTTACAAACTGGGTCTATTAGTCAGGGATAGACACATGTAAAAGCTACAGCCCTCTCAGTGTGGTGTGCTCCGAGAAACCCATAATAGTTTGCTGAAAAACACTTCCCTGTCTTTCCTAAGCCCTCTGGCTGAAATGCCTGCCTTGCTTCTGTGT